ATCGGGGCCTCGGTGGCCGAGTGGTCTAAGTAATCGAACAGATTTGAATAACATTTTATCAAGAGAAAAGTAGTCGAACTACTGTATCACTAGCCTGTCAACACTGAGGTTGTGAGTTCAAATTTGTCACATTGCAGGTGCGTTAAACTCCAATTTTAATTGATTAGGATTGTCAGTTTTCATACCGAAGGTTTATGGTTATCTCCAGGCACTCCGGCTTCCTCCACCAATAAAAACTGACCGCCACAAACTTGCACAAACATGCTGAAAGTAGCGTTTAAACACCAATCAATAAAAACAAAATTTGATCAAATTTTGACACAATGTAAGCATGGTAAGGTTGAATGAAGACTAATTATATTTGATTGTGATACTTTTCAGCATAGTTGAATGTAATCAGTTACAGGATATTTATTGACAGAAACAAAGGTAGACAATTTATCTTGTTTATCACCATGACTTGAGTATGCTTCAATAAATCTGTATGAAAAAGGTTTTATAAAGGCAGGCCAACTTTCTAACTTGTTGATTTTAAGATAAGTTTAATTTGTCCTGAGTTATTTAACTTAAATCATCAAAAACTATGTGTAATTTTTCATATGTCTGGTGATTCCACTGAATCATGTTAAATATTTTGACTATATCACAAATAATTATAGAGGGAAAGTCGATTTCAGTTTTTAAATTTTTCAAAAACTTGACCCCCCTTACCAACTTTGGGTTTTAGTTGCCCTGATGTGCTTTCTCCTCCCTATTTTTTCAGTTCAGTATTTTGTGAAAATCATTTGAAATATTTCATCAGAAAAAAATTAAGAATATGAAATTATTTTTATTTTTTACTTTTATTGCCTTCCACTCAATTGCATAAGTCCTGAGAATAGAATAGCATTGAAGAGAAAGTTATGTTTTATGTCAACATAATTAGTCCATTGTAAAAATTTGTATTGATTGCATACAAAGTAAACAGTTATCTGAACTCTTATGCAAATGAAAGTCTGTGTTTGATAATTCAAAAGTCAATAGTCAATTACCATGTCATTTTTGTCATGCTATGATACTATTATAAACTTGTTGAGGGAATTACAATGTAGGTAATAATTAGCTTCATCCTTTTGTGGATTGTCTCAGAACACAACATGCAATAATAGACTTAAAAGTATTACATAAGGCTTCTGGATATTATTGAAATATGTTTGTTTTTTTTTCTATGACCCCAAAGTTTTTGTGGCAGTATAAAGAATGGTATTGATGTTGTCCTTGTCGTCATCCAACAACATTTGGTTTCTAGACAATAACTTGAGTACAAGGGTATGGATCTCTATGAAATCGAACCACAAGGTTCCATATCACAAAAGGAAGGTTGGGATTGATTTTGGGGGTCATTGTTCTAACTGTTGAGGAATAAGGGGCCAGAATCATTTTTCTTGTTTCAGGACAATAACTTGTGTTTAAGTGAATGGATCTCTATGAAATTGTACCACAAGGTTCAATACCAAATAAGGAACATTGTGATTGATTTAGGGGGTTATGGCCCTAACAGTTTAGGAAAAAGGGGCCAAAAACAATACTTTTCTAATACTTTGTATAAAGTGCTTATTTCTTGACCAATTTCATTGTGGTTTAGTTCAAAGTGAATGTGTTTTTAGATTTTGGGCCCAGTTTTTAAATTGTCCACATTGATGTCCAAAGGGTCCAAAATCAAACTTTGTTTGATTTCATCAAAAATTGAATAATTGGGGTTCTTTGATATGCCAAATCTAACTGTGTATTTAAATTTTTAATTTTTAGGCCCTGTTTTCAAATTGGTTCATATTAAGGTCCAAAGGATCCAAAATTAAACTTTGTTTGATGTTGAAAAAAATAAAAATTGAATTCATGGGGTTTTTTGATATGCTGAATCTAACTGTGTATTTAGATTTTTGATTTTGGGCCTGGTTTTCAAATTGGACCACATTATGTCCCATGCTGTGTCAAATATTTATCATACTCCAATTTCAGAGCTGTATCAAGCTTGAATGTTGTGTCCATACTTGCCCCAACTGTTCAGGGTTCAGCCTCCGCTGTTGTATCAAGCTGCGCCATTTGGAGCATTTTATTTTAAATGTACTACAGGGTTGTTTTACGACCTTAACTACCCATGAGGTTCTCGCCCAGTCAGCTTATACATCTCAATTTGCATTACTTGAATATCCTAAGGTTTAGATATGCAAAAGGGGGAAGGGTTGTTGCCATGTAAAACTGGTTAACCCCGCCACGTGTTGTGCCTATATCAAATTAGGCTTTCTGGACCATATGTTGATGGTTGTCTATTTTTTAGAGGAGTCAAGGGTTGGCAGTTGGTGTAGTCAAATAGTTTTGTTAAAGTTCCTTTTTACCTTGTTATAAAAACATACAGTAATTTCAAATTTTTTAAGAGAATATGAAATTTTATGCTTCCTTCCAAAGATTTGAGTTTTTATTATCAAACTATCTCATGTACAATGTATCTTTTTTGTACAACTGATAGCACAGATGTTGAAAAAATTGTTTTCAGCACAATTTTTAATTACACCAATATTTTATTTATCAATTAATTAATATAACTAAATTTTGAATTACAAAATAAACTTACTTTATTTAAGTTGAATATTTTCACAAACTTTTGACAGTGTTGCAGAATTATCAATTTTGTCTGAGCAGGAAGTCTGCTTAGTTTGAAAACTTCATAGGTGAGAACTTTGAGAAAACCCGCTGTAAAATTAAGATAACCATAACAACGCATAGATTAGAAAAAAATGTTTTCTAAACTAGTTTAAATTAGTAGTACCTTCTTCAGTCTTCAAAACATTGGTTCCACATTAAATAATATCCATGTTTAAAGTTATTCCCTGAAGGGCTAGCCATCCATCAAATTTGCATGAGTGACACATGTTCCGAAAACCAGGAAAATAGCGAAGTACATGATTGTATTGATTTTACTTTTAACACAACAATTTAGAAAGTTTCTTTTCTCATACATCTGTGCAATTGCTATGTTATACAGTGTTTAATACAAAAAGAGAATTAAAACGTTTTTATAAATCCTTGTGTTGTTACGAAATTTACAACTGCAACATGTGGGCTGTTCAATTGAAGCATGTACTGAAAATTGAATAGGTTGAATAACTGTTTAAAAGTTATACAATTTCTGAAGATTTCGTCATGATTTACAGTTTAATGGATCTAACTAATGGATGTATTAATTAGTATCAAATTTAGAGATTGGAGTGACAGAAAAATAGAGTTTATGGATGTTTTGGATATTTTTAGCTTCACGTTATTGTGCCTTTAACAATAAGATACAGCTAAATGAGCATATCTGTATTAAAAATTTAATAGACAACTGACATTTATTTTTTAAGTACTGTGACAAAAGTAATTTTCAAAGAAAATTGAATTTGGAACTGATCTGATTAAAACTTTGTGAAATCCACGATAAAATCTATCCTATGTTTAATGATATTTCTGGTTACTCCTGCTGATCATATACAGTTTCAGTAAGAGACGGGTTTACTAGTGTTCTTAATAGGCTAATCCATTAAGACAACAGGAAGAAAAAGGATTGGAACCATTTTATGTTTAGAAGTAAAACAATATTCTTCATCTGTTCTGGTATCAGGACCTAATTGCTGATAATTTTGAAAAGATTGGATATAAAGACATTGATTTTCATCACAATTTTTCGCTAATTTTGTTACGGGATATTTAGCTTGAATATTTCCGACTATTTGGTGAAGCTGTATTTCCTGTGTATAGCTGTAATGATGTCTTAAGTTTAGAAATAGTATTGACCATTTAAATTGATGTATGACCTTTGTTCAAAGGAAGGAAAACTTGAAATTTTCTAAACATCTCACTGTCAGAGAGTTTATTTGATTTAGTTATAACAATTTTTGGAATATATAAATAGATATTATAATAAAACGTTTTTTAATTGTGTGACTCCTCGCTTGTTTCAAGAGATTTTTGTTAAAAAATTTAACAACATATTAGATGAACTTTTGATAAAATTCTACCAAGTTTTTGCTGATGGATTTAAAAGATGTGAAATATTTTTAAGAGAAAACAGTCATCTGGTACAAACCATACTTTGAGCAATTTAAATTGAACGCTATCTTGAATTTAATTTTAAAAAATCTCATTATGAAATCAATGAGGAGACAATCGTCCTACGTTGTGACAGGGACAAAGTCAGCGGATGTGGATAAGGAACAGGATGTATCCACTACAATGCAGCAGGGAAAGTTCCGAAAGTTAGTTCTTCCCCGTCGATTTTCTACCCCAGTATTTGGGTTTAGGGAAGAGGAAGAATCTATGGAATCTCGTCACCTAATTGAAGCTGACCAGTTTGTCACTAAACAGTATTTAGAAAAGAAAGGGAAAGGTAGACTTGAAACAATATACATTTTCTTTGCACATGTTGCATGCATAAATATTATTTGGTAAATTAAGTTGGAATAGCATTCAAAATTTATGAACAAATGTACTGATTTTATTTCAGAGTCACATTGTTATCCAGGTAACTATAAGTATATATAATAATATATCTTTCCAGTTTGCATTTTGGCCGATTTTTACTTGATTTTAAAGACTGTATGCACTTTTTAGCATTTACAGGGGACCAGAAATTACCAGTTTTGAGACAGGGAAAGGAAGTGGAATGCAAGCTTAAGTCTGTACTGTAAATTAAGAAATTATTGCATGCATTTATTATTGCGATTATTGAAGAATTGACAAAAATGCTAAATTAGTTTTTAATGATTTCAGAAAAAATTGGCAAACAGATATATGTATCGAATTCAGAATGTGAGTTCTTATTATTCCAGTCCCATTATTGGCATTTAGAAAATTATCGCAATAATTTCAGAATTTACCGTATATGCTTGATAGTCATGATAGGTCTACCTGTATCATATCTTAAGTTTTGTATTTGAACCATGCAATAGGTAAACATATCTATCTGTTATATTGTACATTTTCAGGAGCACAAGTGGCCACCAGTTTATTACAACAGAGAGCCAATGATGTCAGAAGTAACCGAGTCAACTGGCAGTCTTATCTACAGTAAGTCCTTAGAACATTATTGACTATAGCATTGTTGTACCCCCACAGCTGTACAATTGGGGCTGTATTGTAATTCACTTGTCCAGCCATTTGTCCCTCACTTCGTTGTCCATTAATATTATCGTCACACTTTTGTCAGAAATTATTAAACAGAATGACTTCATATTTGGTCAGCAACTTGACTGTAACGGCCTGACCATTTAGTATAACCGACGATTGAGTTCAAGCAAGAAAGACTATCAGGTGCTGATACTTTATTCCTAAACCAATCTAACAAATGGTAAAAAGCTGAAAATACAAAATGAAATACAATTGCAATTATAAGGTGAAATTTCCAGTATATCACGGATAAAGAGTTCAAATATGTGATGAATGGATTGAAAGCATCAAATACAATGTTATAAATGTAAGTCACTCTGTGGTTAGCCACAAATTGTGTCCAAGATGATGTTTGTCCTTAAATGTTCTCCAGTTCTGTGATGACCTTGCAGTTCAGTTCGAGATATGTGTAAGAAAGGGAACAGATAACGATGATAACGATATTTTTAAGTTCTTATACGGTTTAAAGATGAATAATCCTTCTAGGTCAGGAACACATAAACAGATTAAGAATATAATCCAACGAACTATATGAATTGAGAAACGAGGTAACAGAATATTGACAGTGATGAGTTGTAATATTTGTGCACTTTTTGGATCTCTTCAGATACCTTCTTCTTTCTGATACTTTGAATTTTTCGATATGTTGAAAGAACCTAAAATTGTTCATCCACTTTTGGACCATTGAACTTTTTTGGTGGATAGTTGTCGCATTGCCAATTATGCCACATTTACTTATTTTTATAAATAACGAGATATAAATAATTTTTTAACATTTGATTGATCTATATAAAGATAATGTTATTTTGATTTACAGAGGACAGATGATATCACATGAAGATTTCCAGTTTATATCAAAGTTTGACAACGCTAATTCAGAAGTCAAGAATGCCATCCTTATGGATAATCCACAACAGGTATATAAATGTTGGTTTTTCTTTCAAGACTTGTAGTTAACTTTCAATCACCAGCCATGACACTTATTAGTGTACATATGTTATATACATTTGCTGTGGCATGGGTGGCCAAGTCGTTTAAGCAGTTCAACTTCTGTATCACTATGAAAATAGAAGATGTGGTATGATTGCCTCACTTGAGACCAAATGACATAGAAGTTAACAAATAAAGGTCACCGTATAGCCTTCAACAATGAGCAAAACCCATACCTCATAGTAAGCTATAACAGGCCCCCAAATTACAAATGTAAAACAATTCAAACGAGAAATGTATCACTAGCCTGTCAACACTGAGGTTGTGAGTTTGAACCCTGGACATGACATGTGTTGACTCCAATCTTGATTGACTAGGATTGTCCATTTTCCTACCGAGGTCAGTGGTTCTCTCTGGGCACTCTGGCTTCCTCCACCCATAAGAACTGACTGCCTTGAAATAGTCAATAGTGCTGAAAGTGGAGTTAAACACCAGATCCTGAAAAAATGTTAAAATCAGTAATTATATATATATTGTCCAACTGTGAAATGAAAAAAATGTTTACTGTTGTAAGTTGGACATATTACAAATTTTAAGAAACAGAATGATAATTTTTTTTACCAATAAACTAATTATCTAAAGGTCCTATATTTTTACGTTTTTATTTGTTTTTGTTTAATAACTTGTTCCTAGCATCATTTAATAGGAATTATTACAACTGTAGATCATTATTTGTTTGACTTAAGGGACGTTGACTCCTGAAAATACATCTGTTATTGTATTCATAAAAAAAGATTGGATTACCTTTCTAATAAATGTATATAAGCAGTTACAATGATTAATTTGTTGTCAATACTTAGTTCAATGTACATGTATTGTTTGTGCAAAAAGACCTGAAATTTTGAAATATTGCAAATAATTGTCAAGATTAGGTGTTGTAAAGAATATTGATAATAAAATACATGCATGAGTTTCTATTTTAAAAAGAAATGATTCAAAGAAGACAACTTCATTTATAGTTAACCTTGTTTGGAAATGCCAAAATTGCCTATAACTGAGGATCGGTAAGGGAAATGGTGTTTCTTTGGTCCTGTATTCTTCAGTTTTTATTCCATTTTTCTCTATTCTTATTTTTTTTACCCGATATTACAAATCTCTGGTCTTTATTTTGTTTGTCTTTTTTCTCTATTCTTTATTGTTTGCCCTTTATTCTCGATTTTGTTAACCCCATCCAGACTGTCAATTTGCTTCAGTGGCATTAGTTAAAAAAGTGAAAATGAAAAATTCTTACTTAATGCGTCATTTGTGGATAAATGAAGAAGTAGGATATACATCATTGAGAATGTAGCCCAACAACAAATAAAACTTTATATAAGTTTTGATAAAATAAACTCATCATAGATACCAGGCTTTAAATTTTGTACACCCTACATAGTTTTGTCAACAAACGACTTATCAGTAACGCTCAAATACAAAAAAATAAAAAAAGACCAAATAAAGTACAAAGTTGAAGAGCATTGAGGACCCAAACTGGTAAAAAACAATATTTCCATAGAGATGGTGGGAAGTTATCTCATGAACATAAACTTAAAAACTGACAAATTTTTTTTGCATTGTGATACATTCTACTCTGTGTGAAGTAGGAAGGGGTAACTGTTCAAGTCCATCTTATGTCATTTGGGATACATTCTACTCTGTGTGAAGTAGGAAGGGGGGTAACTGTTCAAGTCCACCTTATGTCATTTCATTGTTCTTAATTTCTGTTGTGGTTCTCCATTTCTGTGTTTAATGTTTAATTTAGAGATTATTTGTTATTTTATCTTTTTTTTTCAATATCAATACATTTTACCTATTGTTTGTTTCAGTTTGCCAAGACAATGTTTAGTCTAATGAACAGAATAGCTAAAGACCAAACTTTACAGTATATATTGACCATGTTAGATGATGTTCTTCAGGTAAGGTTAACAGAATAGCCAAAGACCTGACTTTACAGTATATATTGACCTTGTTAGCTGATGTTCTTCAGGTAAGGTTAACAGAATAGCTAAAGACCAAACTTTACAGTATATATTGACCATGTTAGATGATGTTCTTCAGGTAAGGTTAACAGAATAGCCAAAGACCAAACTTTACAGTATATATTGACCATGTTAGATGATGTTCTTCAGGTAAGGTTAACAGAATAGCCAAAGACCTGACATTACAGTATATATTGACCATGTTAGATGATGTTCTTCAGTTAAGGTTAGCAGAATAGCCAAAGACCAAACTTTACAGTATATATTGACCATGTTAGATGATGTTCTTCAGGTAAGGTTAACAGAATAGCCAAAGACCAAACTTTACAGTATATATTGACCATGTTAGATGATGTTCTTCAGGTAAGGTAAACAGAATAGTCAAAGACCTGACATTACAGTATATATTGACCATGTTAGATGATGTTCTGCAGGTAAGGTTAACAGAATAGCTAAAGACCAAACTTTACAGTATATATTGACCATGTTAGATGATTTTCTTCAGGTAAGGTTAACAGACTAGCCAAAGACCAAACTTTACAGTATATATTGACCATGTTAGGTGATGTTCTTCAGGTAATGTTAACAGAATAGCCAAAGACCTGACATTACAGTATATATTGACTATGTTAGATGATGTTCTTCAGGTACAACTTTTTATAGGACTGAAAATATATATGCTTAACTAACAAGAAGATTGTTTATGACAAAAGGGCCATTGTTAGGTGTTATCGTTCAAATATTTCTTAACTTCTTAACCCAAATATGTGCATTGTCATCTTGAATATCCAAAGAACACATATGGTGCTGAGTGTTTAAAGCGACAACCCACATAAAAGGAGACAGCATTTATAAATCGGACTAGAAAACGTTTTGTTATAGACAAAGATTAACAAAGTAGCCACATTTTGTAAAACTGATGACATGTCGATATATTCAAAACACAATAGTCAATTAGTGGTCAAATTTTTATACCAACCAAATTTGGAGTGAAAATGACATTTAAAAAAAATGGTTGTAAACACAGAAAATCAAAATTAGAGAAAATATGGTGATGCATGAAAACTGCTGTTAATTGTTTCGCCCTGAGTCAAAGGTTGTCACAAAAAATCTGCAAATTTCACCAGACTTATTTCAAATCTAATCATGGATTGAGATAAGAATCTATGAACTATCATTTGTTATGTTGTCAATGGAGAATGTATTTTGAGTTGTTGTTATGTGTAAAGGAGAGTTTAATGCATGTCAGTTGTTATGTGTAAATGAGAGTTTAATGCATGTCAGTTGTTCTGTGTAAAGGAGAGTTTAATGCATGTCAGTTGTTATGTGTAAAGGAGAGTTTAATGCATGTCAGTTGTTCTGTGTAAAGGAGAGTTTAATGCATGTCAGTTGTTATGTGTAAAGCATGTCAGTTGTTATGTGTAAAGGAGAGTTTAATACATGTCAGTTGTTCTGTGTAAAGGAGAGTTTAATGCATGTCAGTTGTTCTGTGTAAAGGAGAGTTTAATGCATGTCAGTTGTTCTGTGTAAAGGAGAGTTTAATGCATGTCAGTTGTTCTGTGTAAAGGAGAGCTTAATGCATGTCAGTTGTTCTGTGTAAAGGAGAGTTTAATGCATGTCAGTTGTTATGTGTAAAGCATGTCAGTTGTTATGTGTAAAGGAGAGTTTAATGCATGTCAGTTGTTCTGTGTAAAGGAGAATTTAATGCATGTCAGTTTTTATGTGTAAAGGAGAGTTTAATGCATGTCAGTTGTTATGTGTAAAGGAGAATTTAATGCATGTCAGTTGTTATGTGTAAAGGAGAGTTTAATGCGTGTCAGTTGTTATGTGTAAAGGAGAGTTTAATGCATGTCAGTTGTTATGTGTAAAGGAGAGTTTAATGCATGTCAGTTGTTATGTGTAAAGGAGAATTTAATGCATGTCAGTTGTTCTGTGTAAAGGAGAATTTGATGCATGTCAGTTGTTCTGTGTAAAGGAGAATTTAATGCATGTCAGTTGTTCTGTGTAAAGGAGAGTTTAATGCATGTCAGTTATGTGTAAAGGAGAGTTTAATGCATGTCAGTTGTTCTGTGTAAAGGAGAATTTAATGCATGTCAGTTGTTCTGTGTAAAGGAGAGTTTAATGCATGTCAGTTATGTGTAAAGGAGAGTTTAATGCATGTCAGTTGTTATGTGTAAAGGAGAGTTTAATGCATGTCAGTTGTTCTATGTAAAGGAGAGTTTAATGCATGTCAGTTGTTCTGTGTAAAGGAGAGTTTAATGCATGTCAGTTGTTCTGTGTAAAGGAGAGTTTAATGCATGTCAGTTGTTATGTGTAAAGCATGTCAGTTGTTATGTGTAAAGGAGAGTTTAATGCATGTCAGTTGTTCTGTGTAAAGGAGAATTTAATGCATGTCAGTTGTTATGTGTAAAGGAGAGTTTAATGCATGTCAGTTGTTATGTGTAAAGGAGAATTTAATGCATGTCAGTTGTTATGTGTAAATGAGAGTTTAATGCGTGTCAGTTGTTATGTGTAAAGGAGAGTTTAATGCATGTCAGTTGTTATGTGTAAAGGAGAGTTTAATGCATGTCAGTTGTTATGTGTAAAGGAGAATTTAATGCATGTCAGTTGTTCTGTGTAAAGGAGAGTTTGATGCATGTCAGTTGTTCTGTGTAAAGGAGAATTGAATGCATGTCAGTTGTTCTGTGTAAAGGAGAGTTTAATGCATGTCAGTTATGTGTAAAGGAGAGTTTAATGCATGTCAGTTGTTCTGTGTAAAGGAGAATTTAATGCATGTCAGTTGTTCTGTGTAAAGGAGAATTTAATGCATGTCAATTGTTCTGTGTAAAGGAGAGCATAATGCATGTCAGTTGTTATGTGTAAAGGAGATTTTAATGCATGTCAGTTGTTCAGTTTAAAGGGGAGTTTAATGCATGTAAGTTGATTTGCATGTGTTGAAGGAGATTAAATGGGCAAATCATTTAAATGATGAGTAACTAATTTTAGTTTTAATTTAAAAAATAAATTGCACAATTTCTGGTAGAATACAGTATTTCAAATATGTATATTTTCAGGATGATAAAAGCAGGGTAGAAATATTTAAGGAATATTCCAGGAAGAACAAAGAGTCTGTATGGGTTCCATTTCTACACCTTCTTAATAGGGATGACAGATTTATAGTAAATCAGGTAGGAACTATCAAATCGTTGAATCAATGTAGTTTTGTTTAAAAAATACTGACCTAAACACTTTTTCACTAGCTATGGGTTTTAGGACCACTGTAGAAAGTTGAAAACTGGTTGTCTGTTTTAAATTTTACTATAAGAAATTATAGGGTATACGGTTTTGTCAACAAATCAGCTGGAAAAAACTCAGTTAAAGTAAAATAAATAAAAAAACTAAACTCCAAGGAAAATTCAAAAGGGAAAGTCCCTTAACAAATGGCAAAATCAAAAGCTCAAACACATCAAACAAATATAAAACAACTGTCATATTGCTGGTTTCGTACAGGCATTTACTTATGTAGAAAATGGTGGATTAAACCTGGTTTTATAGCTAGATAAACCTCTCAATTGTATGATGTAAATGATTATTTGTTCATAAATTGAATTTTTCCCTGTTTAAAAAAATTTAGAAACAAGAAATTCTTTAAAAAATAATTTCACAAATTGTACATAATATTGACCATCATTGGGAGCAACTCAAGCTACTACATGAATAGATAAAAATTAAATGTTCATTCACCAATGTACTCATAAATTTAGAGAATAAGCAAGCTTATTGAAAATAAGGATTAGTCTCATGCCAGTTGGCATTTTATTAACTAGACATGCTTATTTGCCATATTTCATTGTGTGTTGCAAATTTTTCATGCTATACATACTGTGGATTCATTTATTTTCGTGGGTATCAATTTTCGTGGATTGAGGAACACTTGCAATTTCTTGGATATTTGATTTCGTGGTTTTGCCAATCTCTGCATACAAAGCCAAATTAACAATTGTAATTCGTTGAACATTTGAATTCGTGGTTCACCTGTACCCACGAAACCCACGAAAATTGGTATCCAACGAATATTAATGAATCCACAGTATTCCATAACACAGGTAATCCTTTCTTTCAAAACATATTGATCTCACAAAACATGTTTAACCCGCCGCATTTTTGCGCCTGTCCCAAGTCAGGAGCCTCTGTTAGTCTTGTATGTTTTTTAATTTTAGTTCATTTATATGTTTTGGAGTTTAGTGTGATGTCCATTTTCATTGAACTATTACACATTTTTGTTTAGGGGCCAGCTGAAGCCCGCCTCCAGGTGGGGGATTTTCTCGCTGTGTTGAAGACCCATTGGTGGCCTTTGGCTGTTTTCTGCTCTTTGGTCGGGTGGCTGTCTCTTTGACACATTCCCCATTTCCATTCTCAATTTTATATTTATTATTTTCATCATTTCAAAAGTTGTCTCCCATGTCTGGGATTTTCATGAATTGACTTGAAAGGTATTCTGTGTTTATGTGTTCTGTACCACTCATATATATATATATATATATATATATATATATACAAGTCTAAATTGAAAACAACGTTCTATCCTATGATTGCGTTGGATAAAAACCGCAATTTTTATACGTGTGCATGCAAAACAAATTTCTTGGTAGAGGGGTCTAAATACAGCACAAACAACATTTTCCAAAAGACCAAATGAGTGAAAAAGTATATTTTAACAAAACGCATTTGACTAACAGGTCGAACATCAAATGTTCTTAAATCCTGCTGACTGCCATTGGCGATTACCAAATAAAAGGATCACAAGGTGTAATAAATGGATCTTAACTATAAATTTAATACCAAAAAGAAAACAATAAACTTGCGGCGAAGATGGTATACCGCAAACAAAGGTGCAAAGATTTTTTGTACACCATATCCGGATTTCGACAATTAATGTCTCTTCAGTGATGTTAGGAATCGAAAACGGTTATTGGAAGGCCACATAATTTACCTCAATTTAGGATAGACTCTTGAATTTTGAGGAGTCAAAATAGGATGAACAGATCATATATACCTGAAGGCAAATATAATACAAGCCCAAACGAAAAAATATAAACAAGTCAAAATTGAAAACAAAGTATATATATGTACATGTGCATTTTTATTTAATTTAATTCAATTTTTTTTTGGGGGGGGGGGGGGGGGGAGATGTAAGCAAAAGTGGAAAATTTTATATTAGGACATAAAATGAAATAATAATAAAGTTCAGGGAAGAGAAAAAATAGAATTAATGATTTGAAAAGACTTTGGTAAAATAGAAATAAATCTTACTAACTTGAAATATGAAAAGAGGGAAAAGATATACACTACAACATCTTTTCCTTACAGCAGAATAACCAGATTTGGCTGAATTAAGTTGTCTTAAAAATTATCTGACTTCTTTATCATGCTATTTTATCTTTTACAGACAAGCAGAATAATAGCCAAAATAGCATGTTGGGGAAAAGAGCTGATGGGATTAGAAGATCTCAAATTCTATTTGAACTGGCTTAAAGATCAACTCAGACTTCCAGTAAGTAGTAGTGGTAGAAGAGTAGAGTAAATCATAATTATAAAACATGGTTGTCGAGCCTGTGACTTTTATCGCAAAAGCGAGACATAGCAATCCTACATTCTGTCGGCGGCGTCCACAAATTTCCACTCTGTGGTTATAGTTTTTGAAATTTTAATAACTTTCTTAAACTATCCTGGATTTCTACCAAACTTGGACAGAAGCTTGTTTATGATCATAAGATAGTATCCAGAAGTAAATTTTGTAAAAAAAAAAATCCTGTTTTTCCGTATTTTACTTATAAATGGACTTAGTTTTTCTGCCAGTCAACATTACATTCACTCTGTGATTAAAGTTTTTCAAATTTTAATTACTTTCTTAAACTATCCTGGATTTGTACCAAACTTGAACAGAAGCTTGTTTACGATCAAAAGCTAATATCTAGAAGGAAATTTTGTAAAAATTTATTTCCTGTTTTTTCGTATATAACTTATAAATGGACTTAGTTTTTCTTCAGGTTAACATTACATACAGTCTGTAATTAAAGTTTTTAAAACATTTATTAGATTCATAAACCATTCTAGATTTTTACCAAACTTGGACAGAAGCTTCTTTCAATCAAAAGATAGTATATATAGGAAAATTTATAATAATTTTTTCCTTATTTTTGTTGAGCCTGTGACTAGCAGCAAAAGTAGGCGAGACACTTGGTTCCCCGGTACCCTTACAATTTTTTTTTATATCAGTCCCTTTTCTCTCTTGTCTTGTGTTATTGCTTGACATAATTCAAGGAAATTTGTCTATTATTAAAGCCTATGATGATTTCTTTTTTCCTTGGTTATATTGTGGAGATGCTGTCTAGTTGGCATTTGTCCCACTTTTAACTTACTTTTACACTAACATGGTATCAGATTTTAACAATATAATAAGATCATACTTCTCATTTACCTAAAATTATAATGAATCCATTGAGTTAATGAGTCTGTCACAGGCAATAGCACCTCTCAATAATTTTGTTACATGTAGTGAGAAGATCATTTTTCATCCAAAGATATCATTGTGCCATTTGACATTAAACCCTGGATTTCTTATAAAGTAAGCCACATCTCTAACATTTGGTTTGATTTTGTTCTAAAATTGACTCTAAAGACTGTTTATTGCTCCTTTTTGTGACATAAGGCATAGTACACCACTGCCCCATAAGCTAATTAAGATCTGATTTGGTTTACAAGTTTTCTAAAACACATATATATCTATAGAAGGGAGTAGGAGGAGGTGTCATCCTGAATTCCCAGAAAAATAAATCATTATTTCCTGGATCCTGAAATATTAAGTCCCGATAACTGTAAATCCTGAATTCCAGTAAAAATAAAGGCCCAATCCCGACATCTCGTCTTTCTGCCCCTCTTTATACATCCTTTTCTATAAAATTTGTGTGCTTGTGGTAACCTAATGAAGGTAAATCCAGAAAAATGCTTCAGACACCAAATTTATAAGGTGTTATTTTTATTATTTTAAAGGATTACATTGTTTTAGTATGCTTAATGCAGGACCTCTACAAATCTACTACTGTGGATTCATTAATTTTCGTGGGTATCAATTTTCATGGATTGCTGAAAACTTGCATATTCGTGGATATTTGATTTCGTGGTTTAGCAAATCTCTGTATACAAAGCCTATTAAAAATATGTTATTCGTTGAACATTTGAATTCGTGGTTGACCTGTTCCCACGAAACCCACAAAAATTGGAATCCAATGAATAATAATGAATCCACAGAAAGTGAAGGGATGCATAACTGTATATGATTAAAGTGTTGGGTTATTATACTTTGTAGGGAAATGAATACATGCAGACAGCAGCAAGATGTTTACAGATGATGTTACGTATAGATAAATATAGACAGGTCTTTGTTGACGTGGACGGCATATCAACGTAAGTTTTCATGATGTTATGTATAGATAAATACAGACAGGTCTTTTTTGACGTGGACGGCATATCAACGTAAGTTTTCATGATGTTACGTATAGATAAATATAGACAGGTCTTTGTTGACATGGACGGCATATCAACGTAAGTTTTCATGATGTTACGTATAAATAAACACAGACAGGTCTTTGTTGACGTGGACAGTATCAACGTAAGTTTTCATGATGTTACGTATAGATAAATACAGACAGGTCTTTGTTGATGTGGACGGCATATCAACGTAAGTTTTCATGATGTTACGTATAGATAAATACAGACAGGTCTTTGTTGATGTGGACGGCATATCAACATAAGTTTTCATGATGTTACGTATAGATAAAAACAGACAGGTCTTTGTTGATGTGGACGGCATATCAACGTAAGTTTTCATGATGCTACGTATAGATAAATACAGACAGGTCTTTGTTGATGTGGACTGCATATCAACGTAAGTTTTCATGATATTACGTATAGATAAATATAGACAGGTCTTTGTTGACGTGGACGGCATATCAATGTAAGTTTTCATGATGTTACGTATAGATAAATACAGACAGGTCTTTGTTGACGTGGAGGGCATATCAACGTAAGTATTCATAATATTCAAACATACATAAAGACATGAATATGTTTTTACAGATACTTCAAAAGGGGATGGAAAGTTCCCTTTTTGAGGTCTTAAATAATTGCTTACAAGTAGATGCTTATCATGCTTATGAAATAGCCCCAGAAGGACAAGGTATGATATGTTAATAAAGAAATAGTATAATTTTTCAACCCTGTTTTACCTGGCGACTATGATTTACTCAACAAATAAAATTGAATAATATTGAATTTTATGAAACATAAAAAGTAGGTTTAACCACCTTCCCCTCTAACAAGCAATCAACATGAAAGATTTGTTTTTGGGGAAACATTTTATTAATATCTTTTATTAAGCCAGAATAATATTCTAGTATATTGTCAGTGCAATAATATGTCCAGTATTAACCAGAAATTATCAACTATAAACCAATTTATTTTTGTGGATACTTATTTCAGTGTTCAGCCCTTGTTAGTTGATTTACTAGCAATTTTCAAACAATGTTGTTTGACATATTATGACTATTTATTTTAATGTTGATTTTTTAACTTTGATCAAAGTTTGACATGTTTACAACTATTTATCTTTGTGTTAATTTTCTACCCGCGAAAGTCACGAAAATTAATTACTCACAAAAGAAATCACCCGTGAGTATAAGTTTGTTTTATGTTTGTTTAACTTATATTTTCAGAATTGTGATGGTTTTGGTTGGATCTAAAGCAGGATTTCAAATACAATACCAGCTTATATTTTGTTTATGGTGTCTGACCTTCAACCCTTTCTTGGCAGAGAAAATGAATAAGTAAGTATATCCTACGGTAAATATATGATTTATGGTTAGCAAGTTTCACTTAAAAATCTTTGTCATAAATTGTTGGTTGTACAACAGCTGTTTTAAGCTGCTGTTGATGATACACATGTATCAAAAGGGGCACAGCAATACTGTTAATTGTCCACAATGTGCCATCAAGTAACATCAGCGACAATTCTTGTATTATGAAAGCTGAAATATTTGCTTCTGGATCACCTCTATACTCCAGAATTTCAAGTGAAAGTGCTTATTTTAGAGTTAACTGTAAAAAAAAAAAATGAAGAAGTGTTTCCCAAATGGTTGCCTCATATTTTGCAGGGAACTTTTACCCCCTGACATTCAGAAAAGGTAATGCATTGCAAAATAAGCTAACATTTCTAATGAAATAACAAATATTGCCTTCTGCTTCATTAAAAAAAAATATATATATCTTTTGTCACTCGCTGGATGGTTAATTTTGCTGTATGAATTTTTTCATTGGATTCTTTAATCTTATTCAATTTTTACAATGCCGTCACAAACAAAACTAAGTAAAAATTGGACATTGAATGTTTATTATTGTGTGCACAATTATCTCCCCTGAAGGTGTGGTATCCCCTGAAATAAAATAGAAGTTTTTCATGTTGTGCAATTATTAATCTTTTAAATTATAGTTCTGTGTTTTTACAGATTTCAAGTAATTCCAACATTAGCAGACATATTAAGTGAAACAGTGAAAGAGAAAGTTTCCAGGATTATTCTGGCTACTTACAGAGTAAGTCTTTAGAATTATTCTAAGACATGGAGATTAAGGTTATCATAGTATTGATTTGTACAGTAACAAAAACTAATGTTGTCAGACTATTTAATGCTCCAGACTTTGACTGTGTGTTTCTGTTGATCCTACAATAGGTCAATTTATTATACTAATAATAGTGTAAGACATAGCATTCCTACGTTTTGTTAACTAAGGCGGAATCAATATTTAGGTCAAAGTTTTTTTAGATGTCAACAACTTACTCAGTTATCTCCCTTGGATGGTATATTCTAGATAAAATGTGGGATATATATTTTTCATTGGCAAATATTTGGTACTAATTACCTCCCTTTATAAATTTTTTGTCTTTATGTTTGCAAAGGAGAAAGTGTGTTTAGGAAACCTTTTTTGCTGCTTGTGTTCCAAAATCAATGCATATTATATTTTTCACATATAACTTCCTTTACATTAATCTGTCATATATCTTTCAAATCTGAGATGGCAGCATCATAAATGCTTATTAGTCCCCTACCGACGAAGTCGAAGGGGACTTTAGGTTTGAACTCCGTCAGTCTGTCCATCCGTCAGTTTTCCACACTTTTTTCTTCATGCTTGAAGATATTGATTTGATAATTGGTATATAGTTTTATCATGTCAAGTTACTGACCAAGTTCAAATTTTGTTCCGGTCTGATGATTTCGTGCAGAATTATGGTCCTTGGAATGAAAAAATTCACTCAAATAATCAGTTTTCCACACTCTTTTTTCGTCATGCTTGAAGATATTGATTTGATAATTGGTATATAGTTTTATCATGACAAGTTACAGACCAAGTTAGAATTTTGTTTTGGTCTGATGATTTTGTGCAGAGTTATGTCCTTGGACTTAGAAAGTTATAGATCAAGTCAGCATTTTGTTCCAGTACAATTCATTTTTAGGCAGTTAAGCTGCCTTATGCTACCACCCTAGATTTGTGTTCTTCCCACTAAATGGTGTAAAAAGTGTTTTTTTTTTTTCATACTTTCAATTCTGGAATACAAAAAATATGACCAGAAAAACCTTAAATGATCGTCGAACTACCCAAAACTTTTGAAGTTGCACATAGGAAGTAGTGCTCAATAGAAATCTGTACGTAGTTTATCATCCCATGTGCTTTTGGCTAAGATGTCTAAGTCCACTCTGACCGTCTTAGAAGACAACTCGGACCGCTTGTCAGATTTACTTAGGGTTTCATAAAATGTTAGACTAACATGTCTAGCGGAGTTATCAATCTTTCATTTGTGCATTGGGGTCTATTTAGGGGTATTTTGAGGGGCCTAAATTAGGGAGTGGTTTACTATAGAATCCTATGGGATTTTATTTTTTTCAATTTTCAAATAACTATTACTTGAAAACAGTAAGTGATAGACACATATGATCTTCAGTAATGATAACAGGACAATAGAACAAATCAAATAAAATATAGGGTGAGTCCCTGGGGGTCATCCCACCCCCTTCAATTTGAAAATGTGTTTTTATCTTGTAAATGGTCGCGATCCCCACCCCTACACCATATATATACTTGTATGGGACAATAAAACAAATCAAATGAAAATAATATGGGGGAGTCCCAGGTATCACCCCCACCCCTTCTGTTTGAGAACTTGTAAATGGTCGAAATCCCCACCCCTAAACCATAAATATAACCTGATAACAAATCAAATGAAATATAGGGGGAGTCCCTGGAGGTCAACCCCATCCCCTTCTGTTAAGAACTTGTTAACAGTTGAGATCCCCACCCCTAAACCATAAATAGTCTTGTATGGTACAATAAAACAAATAAAATTAAATATAGGAGGAGTCCACAGGGGGTCAACCCCGCCCCCTCCTGTTTGAGAACTTGTTAATGGTTGAGATCCCCACCCCTAAACCATACATATTCTTGTATGGAACAATAAAACAAATCAAATTAAATGTAGGGGAGCCCCTGGGGGGTCACCCACCCCTCTTCTTTTTGAAAATTTGCAAACGGTGGAGATCCCCACCCCGAAACCATATATATTCTTGTATTGGACATTAAAACAAATCAAATGAAATAAAGGGAGAGTCCCCAGGGGATCAACCCCCACCTTTTGAGAACTTGAAAACGGTTGAGATCCCCACCCCTAAACCATATATATTCCTGTTTGTCAACTCAAGAATGTTTGAATGACATACAGGGTCAATCTCCTAGGCATCACATATGCATATCACTTTACTTGACCAAACCAATTTGCACTGGACTCAGCCAAATGTCAGGCAACCATGGGAATGACGAATTATAGGAGCTTTGTTTGGGAGACTTCATACAGTATCCTGTTACAATTATTTCTTATTTATTATAGATGCAAGAAATAAGTCTAGGTTGAATTTACTTTTATTATTTTTTTAGTTATTTCTGGGCCTATAAAAATTTTCATTTAAGGTTCATTTTAAAGGAAACATATTTAAAATAGATTAGAAATAAATTTTGAAAATGGTAGGATTGGATAGCGGAAACATCAAGGTACAAACATTTTTTTAACTTGAAATAGCTGAGATAAATAATTAAACCAATTCTTCCACAATATTCATCTTAGCTTAAGCTTCTGCCACGTTTGCCTTGGGTTTTTTTAATTAACTGCCTATATTTGATTTATCTGGTAGGGGACTATGTATTGCCATGCAATACTCTCAGAATGCTTGTTTAAGTGAATAGTGTCTATGAATTTCTAATTACTGATGGCAAAATATAGACTTTGCATTGCTTAATATGGGAATTTTTCAATTTAAAATCCTTGTCTTTTTGCTTTGTGTTAATTGAAATGAAGTGAAACTTGACAGAATTAATCTGTTTTGTGCAGATGGGATTTTTGTAATGTAAATGGAAATGGAAAGAAATCTGGGAAATATATATTTTGGTGTCAAAAAATAACTTTAACATTATCAGGCTGTTTACATTTGTCATTTCCGGCCCTTTAATAGCTTCCTACCAACCTATACTTGTTAACTTCTATGTCATTTGGTCTCAGGTGGAGAGTTGTCTCATTGGCAATCATACCACATCTTCTTATTTTAATATTGAATTTGATTTTAGAATTTACTAGAGAAGCCAGAAGAAAAAGAGGTTGTGACAGACCATGCCCTATCCATGGTCCAATGTAAAGTTATAAAACAATTAGAATTACTGGATTCAAGAAAGTTTGATGATCAAGACATTGTGGATGATATAGAATTCCTCTCAGAAAAACTACAGTCATCTATTCAGGATCTGAGGTAAGGGACACAACTCCTGGGAAAACAGGATTTAGCCTGGCATCCCGGCCCGATCTAGCTGCGCGTCGCAAGGGCCAGGTGGGGAACAAATACTACGTGATCGATTCAGTGCCAGTTGACTCTGAATCTAAAGTGAGGCTGAATAATTATTTGCATAAATTTTTATGTTTGATGTAAACCAGCGATTTCAAACCAATGATTAAGAAACATTGCTTCTGATTCAATAAATTTTGCTCTCAGATTGACGAGTCCCCATTGTCAGTAATATAATAAAATAAATATATATTAAACAGTATAAATAAAAACTAGTATGTGTAATCAAAAGAAACTTTGAAAAATGTTGTACATTTAATATATATTTTATCAGGAAGGATTATATGGGGTAAGAGTCAACGAAACAACTCTTTATAATAAAAAAAATCGAACTTAATAAATATTGTAATTGTCTAATGTAATTATAATTTAAAATATATACGATGGTGTATCTTCGCACATGTACACATCATTTGATATGTAAACTCCCCCCCCCCCCCCCCCCCCCCCAAAAAAAATAACTGCAATTTTTGTTGGCCTTTACTTTTTATGGTTTTTTCCATATATATTTTGCCCTTTGAGATACATGTGTACATGTAAATTAGGTCGTAAAAGTGAAATCCAATTCACACCTTGGTCATGTGAAATCTTAAACTTTTAACTTTCTCACCAGTTGATTGCTGATAAGAATTAACCCTTTTCTGCTTACTAATTATCACCATACTAATAATTAGATATGCGAACACTGTACATCAATTCATAAAGAAAAATAAATACAGTCTAACTTTTACTAATTGATGTTAAACAAAAATTGATTGGATACAGATGTAAAACAAACATTGCGGGACAAAATTAGTATTAACCAATCATTGACAGGCAGGACATTGATACACGCCTGGCTATACTGACAAGATTAGCCAGGACCCCAGGCTAAACAGGATTCTCTCAGAAAAGCTAGTCATCTATTGACAATCTGAGGTAAGGGAAATAACTCCTGCTAAAACAGTATTTGTCAATGTGTTTCTCTTAGAAATACAACATTCATCTATTTAAGATCTTACGTAAAGGGAACAGCTCCGGTGCAAACTAGATTTGTCACTGTATTTATCAAATACAGTAAATTCAGAAATTAATGCATGCACTTATTGTGAATCCTAAACCTCTGGCAACAATACTTAATATAATTAATGCAATTTTAAAATTTTTTAAAAAATTTATGAAGGAAAATTGTTACTTTAAATATGAATGAAAGTTTTTATTATTGTGAACAAGATACTGTCGCATTTTTGCGCATTTAAAAAAAAAAAAAACATTGCAATAATTTCTGAACTTACAGTAATGTAAACCAACTTGTTTCTCTAATACTTTTCGCTGGTTTAGCCCTTTCAAATTGACTACAAAGCAGGTTATTTTCCTGGCATACCTTTTATGAGGGAAGATGTAAGTTTGCAATATTCATGATATATTTCCACTTGCTTAAGCTGGTAAAACTAATTCTCTTACGAAAAGTAGTTGGCTTTTCATTAAAATCTATAGTTGGGCCAGAATAAACTTTATCAAAATGATAAATTGAATATAGTTGCAGTAATTATTCACCTTGAAACTCTTGTAAAAGCTAGTCATGATGTTATTTATTTATACAACGTGCAGCAGTATGGTAATTTGCTTATGCTTTTCAAAGTAGGACATTAAATAAACAGTAGAATAATGTTGTGAAGTGTAAAAACATTTCAAACAGAACAGAAAATGAATAATTATTAAGATAAGAATATGATTAATGATTGTCAATGAGGTAACTATCCGTCAGAGACCAAATGCTGTGCACGTAAGCTACTATAAGTCACTGTACAATGGTTAACAATAAGTCCAACCCATACCGTATAGTCAGCGATCCACATCCTTTCCTTCTAAAAAAAGAGAAGTCAGGTAAATTATTGGTTATAAATTCATATAACAAATTTGTTCTATTAGACAATCTAATAAACTATTTACCTTCCTAATATTCCAGTTCCTTTGATGAATACACAACTGAGGTGAAGTCTGGTAGATTAGAATGGAGCCCTGTACATAAATCTGATAGATTCTGGAGAGAAAACTGTATCAGACTGAACGAGAAAAATTATGAATTATTAAAGTGAGTATTAATTGTACACTTTTTGATGGGAATAAATAGGAGATGAGGGGGTAACATCAATGAACAGCACCCCAACAACACAAATAATCAACACTTCTTGACGCTGTTCCATTAATCAGTCTTTTCTGGGTTTTTTTTTTCATTGTAATAAAACTGTAACTTTCTGACTTCATTTTGCATGATATATTATTCTGGTATTTCTTTCATAACCATGTGACCATAAATTTTTCGAGGCAAAACACATAAAATGTTTGTGATAATATATAAATAACACATAGCAGAGAGGGTGATAGAGCAGATTGTTGCCCTGAGAAAACATTGTCAACTGATGTGAAGCCAAGGTTGACAATGTCTTTTCGAGGGGTAACAATCTGCTCTATCACCCTCTCAGATATGTTGTTATTTAATTTATTATACTGAATGTTCTGTTATTACTGTCTATTAAATTTCAAATTCAAAGTAATAAACTATGTCGTCTTGTACATAACAATCATCCATATTTATTAAAGTGCACACTTGTGCAAGCGTCTCCGTGAAGGGTAATAGAGTATTTGCCATGGGATAGAGTAAATTGTCTCCCTCGTATTAACCAATCAAAATCTGGCATTTTGACATGAGGTATAATAATCACATTTGATTACTGTGTAGAGTTTAAATTTTAAGATTTTTATTGCCAAACCAAACCTGTTGGCAAGGTTTTATCTAAGTGTTTTTATACGACCGCAAAAAAATTTTGTGGTCGTATATTGGTATGACGTTGGCGTCGTCGTCGTCGTCGTCCGGCGTCGTCGTCCGAATACACATTGGTTTTCGCACTCTAACTTTAGTTTAAGTGAATGGATCTTTTTGAAATTTGACCATAAGGTTAAATACCACAAAAGCAAGGTTGGGATTGATTTTGGGGGTTATGGTACCAACAGTTAAGGAATTAGGGGCCAAAAATAAGCATTTTCTTGTTTCCAGACAATAACTGTGGAACGGTGTATGGATCTCTCTGAAATTATACTACAAGTTTCCATACCACAAAGGGATGGTTAGGATTTGCTTTGGGGGGTTATGGCTCAAACCGTTTAGGAATTAGGGGCAAAAAAGGGGGAAAAACAAGGTTGTCCTGGTTAATGGACAAATACTTTAGTACAAAACATAATTTAAAGCAGTGTAAGGGAGATAAATCAAATACATCATTGAAATTATCTCCCTTACACTGCTTTTAAATTATGTATAAAGTAATGGTTAATGAACAATAAAGATAATTTAAAACAGTGTAAGGGAGGTAATCCAAATACAACGTTTTGGTTACTTCCCTTACACTGCTTTTAAATTATGTTTAAAGAAATGCATATTTATAAAGGAAGACCAGTAAAAATATCTGCAAATGTTGCATCTTTTTTTTTACAAAAAAATCCATATGAAAGATTTGACACTATATTTTTAATTCTATTATAAAATAGATTAAGTTAGCACTATGGTAAATTCAAATGGGTAATTATGGTTGCCAACTCCATTGGAAATTTGAATTGAGATTTTGACCATATCTTGAGGGAAAGAATTTTTTTGGGGAAAAAAGGGGGGGGGGGATAAAAAGAAATTGTGGGGGTCAATTTTTTCTCATTTCAGATTTCAGAAATTAAAAAGAATTATTCTTCAAATATTATTTTTTTTTCAAATTTCAAATATTGAAAAATTTCAAGAAGTAATCTTTAATTGCACAGTATGGCGCATTAGATTTGTAAAATCTTTGATCACATTTATTTATTTGTTATGCCGAATCTAACAGTGTATTTAGATTTTTAATTTTGGGTCCAGTTTTCAAATTGGTCTACATTAAGGTCCAAAGGGTCCAAAATTAAACTTTGTTTGATTTTAGCAAAAATTGAATATATGAGGTTCTTTGATATGCTGAATCTAAACATGTATTTAGATTTTTGATTTTTGGCCCAGTTTTCAAGTTGGTCCAAATTGGGGTCCAAAATTAAACTTTGTTTGATTTCAACAAAAATTGAATATATGGGGTTCTTTGATATGCTGAATCTAACCATGTATTTAGATTTTTTATTTGTGGACCCCGTTATCAAATTGGTTCATATTGAGGTCAAAAGGGTCCAAAATTAAACTTTGTTTGATTTCATCTAAAATTGAATTATTAGGGTTCTTTGATATTCCAAATCTAACCATGTATTTAGATTTTTAATTTTGGGTCCTGTTTTTTAAATTGGTCTACATTGAGGTCCAAAGGGTCCAAAATTAAACTTAGTTTGATTTTAACAAAAATTGAATTCTTGGGGTTCTTTGATATGCTGAATCTAAACATGTATTTAGATTTTTGATTATGGGCCCAGTTTTCAAGTTGGTCTAAATTGGGGTCCAAAATTAAACTTTGTTTGATTTCATCAAAAATTGAATTATTGGGGTTCTTTGATATGCCAAATCTAACCGTGTTTTTAGATTTTTAATTATGGGCCCAGTTTTCAAGTTGGTCCAAGTTGGGGTCCAAAATTAAACATTTTTTGATTTCAACAAAAATTGAATATATGGGGTTCTTTGATATGCTGAATCTAACCATGAATTTAGATTTTTTATTTGTGGGCCCCGCTATCAAATTGGTTCATATTGAGGTCAAAAGGGTCCAAAATTAAACTTTGTTTGATTTCATCAAAAATTGAATTATTGGGGTTCTTTGATATTCCAAATCTAACCGTGTATTTAGATTTTTAATTTTAAGTCCCGTTTTTTAAATTGGTCTACATTAAGGTCCAAAGGGTCCAAAATTAAACATAGTTTGATTTTAGCAAAAATTGAATTCTTGGGGTTCTTTGATATGCTGAATCTAAACATGTGTTTAGATTTTTGACTATGGGCCAAGTTTTCAAGTTTGTCCAAGTTGGGGTCCAAAATTAAACTTTGTTTGATTTTAACAAAAATTGAATATATGGGGTTCTTTGATATGCTGAATCTAACCATGTATTTTGATTTTGGACATTGGACCATAATAGGTAAATTAAAAAAAATCAAGTTCTTAGACCACATTCTTTCTGTGTCAGAAACCTATGCTGTGTCAAATATTTAATAACAATCCAAATTCAGAGCTGTATCAAGCTTGAATGTTGTGTCCATACTTGCCCCAACTGTTCAGGGTTCGACCTCTGCGGTCGTATCAAGCTGCGCCCCAGCGAAGCATTTTATTTTCTGTTGATTTATTTGTTTCCTAATGATCAAATTTATGGGAGGGGTGACATTGTACTTATTTGATTTATTTGTTTCCTAATGATCAAATTTATGGGAGGGGGTGACATTGTACTTATTTGATTTATACTTGGATGGATGGTGATTTATACTTGGATGGATGGTCAATGACTGAACATATATATGAAAATTTATCAAATTAAAAGCAAATGTTTTGTGAATGTTTAGTTTAGTTATTTCTTATGAAAAAATAACCTTATTTGGTTTTCTTAAGTTTTGCAGATTTAAAATGCTTTAATTCTTCATTTTCAGAATTTTAGTGAAGTTATTAGAAACAAGTAAAGATCCCCTGATTTTGTCAGTTGCAGCACATGATCTAGGGGAGTATGTACGACATTATCCCAGAGGGAAAAAGTAAGTTTTTTGGAATAACAGTAGGTACAGCAAATACATTTTTATAGGGCCGCAAAAAAATTTTGCGGTCGTATATTGGTATGACGTTAGCGTCATCGTTGTCGTCCGAAGACACATTGGTTTTCGCACTCTAACTTTATTTTAAGTGAATGAATCTCTATGAAATTTTACCATAAGGTTCAGTACCCCAAAAGGAAGGTTGGGATTGATTTTTGGGGTTATGGTACCAACAGTTAAGGAATTAGGGGCCAAAAAGGGGTCATAAATAAGCATTTTTTTAACTTCCAGACATAACTTGTGTGTTAGTGTATGGATCTCTCTGACATTGTACGACAAGGTTCAATATCACAAAGGGAATGCTGGGATTGATTTTGGGGGTAATTGCCTCAAAATTTTAGGAATTAGGGGCAAAAAAAGAGGCAAAAAACAAGCATTTTTCTAGTTTCATGACAATAACTTGTGTGTAAGTGTATGGATCTTTCTGAAATTGTACTACAAGGTTCCATATCACAAAGGGAAAGCTGGAATTGAGTTTGGGGGTAATTGCTCAAAACGTTTAGGAATAAGGGGCCAAAAAGGGGCCAAAATTAAGATTTTTTTTAGTTTCCAGACAATAACTTTTGTTCAAGTGTATGGATCTCTCTAAAATTGTACTGCAAGTTACCATATCACACAGGGAAGGCTGGGATTGATTTTGGGGGTAAATGCCTCAAACTTTTTGGAATTAGGGGCAAAAAAGGGGCAAAAAACAAGCATTTTTCTAGTTTCAGGACAATTACTTATGTGTAAGTGTATGGATCTTTATGAAATTGTACTACAAGGTTCCATATCACAAAGGGAAAGCTGGGTATGAGTTTGGGGGTAATTGCCAAACTAAATATTTAGGAATTTGGGGCCAAAAAACAAGCATTTTTATAGTTTCCAGACAATAACTTGTGTTCAAGTGTATGGATCTCTCTGAAATTGTACTGCAAGGTACCATAACACAAAGGGAAGGCTGGGATTGAGTTTGGGGGTGATGAATCATAAGGGGGTTCAAAAAATTTGGGGGGGGGATTATTTTTCCTTTTTTTTTCTTTAAAATTTTCCATTTTAAGGTAGATAGGGTGTCTTCCTCCATCTTGGATTTTGAAATACCAGAAAACAATAGGTCTAGATCTTAAATAAAAGGTGCAAATTTTGAGAGTAGTAGGTAATTCATGTGTAAGAATTTTCATTTCAATATAGAAAACAACATATTTTATCATATTTATGGTTGTATTTTACAAAAAAACAGAATACTTTTGTTTGATTCTATTTTTTCCAACTTTGCCACATAAGGGGAGGCAACTCAAATGTAAGGGCAGATAATTCAGATAAAGGTACTTTTACAATAGAATGTGTTAGGAATTTACCTATTTTATCATGTAGCAAGAAAATGGGTCCCGTGACCCTATTTTTTCTTTTTCTTATCTGAAAGCATACTTTTAGAGCTATCTTCTCATATTTTATCTCAAAATTCTATGGTGTAGTTTTCGTTTTATGGCAGAAAATTGGGTTTTCCATGCATAATCTATACAAAATCTGTCAATTTTGCACAACCTGTAGCGTGAAAATAAGCCCCGTGACCCATTCTTTTTATTATTTTTTTTTAAAAAGCATGATATAAACTACATTTTGGCAAGTTATTAAAAAATTCTATGGATTATAATTTAGACAACCCATCTACCTTAAATTGGTTATTTCTGATTTATATATAAAAGCAAATAATAATGATATGGTTTGAATAGGTAAATTAAATTTTTTTAAGTTCTTAGACCACATTCATTCTGTGTCAGAAACCTATGCTGTGTCAAATATTTAATCACAATCCAAATTCAGTGCTGTATCAAGCTTGAATGTTTTGTCCATACTTGCCCCAACTGTTCAGGGTTCGACCTCTGTGGTCGTATCAAGCTGCGCCCAGCAGAGCATTTTATTATAATTATTATTAGATTGTAAGTAAATATGTTTCATGCAAGCACTTATCTATAAAATAATATTGTATAGTTTCTTTGTTAAGCATTTTTATATTCACTGAACACAGAAAAGGAGGAGGTATTAATTGGCCACTGAAATTTTAAAAGTTGTAAAATTCTTCAATGCTTTCAATTTAACACACATTTGTATGTCTCGTATCTAAATGGTTAAAACAGGATCTCAAAATTAGGCTATTTGAAAGTGTTTTTTTTCCAGTTTTTAATTTAGAGCAAAAGATTAAAAGCCATAACTTTTTTTTTATATGCAAGGCAAAATTGAAAGAAATAAATACTGACATCTTCCATTTCAAATTTTAATTTTTTTTCTCTGTTTACTTTCATATGATCACAAATATCCAATATAATTATGAGTGGCTGTCCTGTTCCATATGTATAATATATGGACCAGCTAATGTTCAATAGATGAATAGGACCAATACAAGTACTAAGTTATATAAGGTACCTGGGCTCTCTGTTATAAAACTTAAAAACAAAATTTGTGATGGAAACAGCAAATCCTATTTTTTGATTGATTGATTTCTGAGTCAGAGTACGATAATTGGGCTTGAAAATTTTATGATTGCAAGACCTGATATCCTATGACATGTATTGATATTGAAACAATATATATGATTTTACAGTGTAATAGAGCAGCTAGGAGGTAAACAGTTAGTGATGCAGTACCTTTCACATGAAGATCCTAATGTTAGATTTGAGGCTTTGATAGCTGTACAGAAACTGATGGTACACAACTGGTAAGTATAATCATATACCCTTACTTACAGAGTGGATGGTATTTTGACATCACCTTGTCCGTCTGTTCTGTCCTCTGTAACTTTTGTTATATATTACATAGCTTCTGTATTAAGGAATAATTTGAGATTAGGTCTAAAACTTTAGTTGTACCATGTATGCAGTGATTTGTAGATCTGCATGGCAGTCACTTTCTGTTTGACAACACTTTGAATTTTATTTTACCCACTGTGTGTGTTATTAAATTGTCAGGTTCTAAAAAATGAGTGGGGTACTTTGCCATGTTTGCAGAATGGCATAAAAGACATAACAAAATACTGTCATCTCAAAGGTAAAAGGGGAAAGTATAAATACAGATAAAACTTAACATTCAACTATATCAATCATCAGAACAACTGGAAAACTACTGTCAAATTTCTTACTTGATACAAGGGGAGACAAGTGTGTAATTTCTTGTTTTTCCTTGTTTTTGATGTATTGTAGTATCCATCAGATTCCAATCCTTAGAAGCAGTTTTAGAACCTATGGCAAGCAACTTGTTATTCGTTTTATTTATTCTGTCCCATATTCATTTTATTCTTTCTGTCCCATATTCATTTTATTCTTTCTGTCCCATATTCATTTTATTCTTTCTGTCCCATATTCATATATTTATTCTGTCCCATATTCATTTTATTCATTCTGTCCCATATTCATTTTATTCATTCTGTCCCATATTCATTTTATTCATTCTGTCCCATATTCATATATTCATTCTGTCCCATATTCATTTTATTCTTTCTGTCCCATATTAATTTTATTCATTCTGTCCCATATTCATTTTATTCATTCTGTCCCATATTCATATATTCATTCTGTCCCATATTCATTTTATTCTTTCTGTCCCATATTCATTTTATTCATTCTGTCCCATATTCATATATTCATTCTGTCCCATATTCATTTTATTCATTCTGTCCCATATTCATTATAGAATAACTAATCGAAGAATTCAAATAGAGAAAAATATTCAACAAGTGACCGAACAACACATAAATTCATGATTGAGCGTAGCGCATGAGTTAATTATCAGTGTTGTTCGGTCACGAGTTGAATATTTTTCGATATTTAAATTCTTTGATTAGTTATTCTTTTTATTACATTGGAAAATGGCTTTTTTGTGAAATTAAAGTAGAAAATGTAAGGAACTATATCGTTTTCTACACATTCACAATTTGTTTTGATCCGACGTTATCGACGTCTTGACAACGCCTATTGTTGTATGACGTCAGAGGAGTGAAATAACCATGTTTATTTCACATATGAAATTATCGGTTTTTATTTCACTGGGAAATCAATGTAATTCATTGCAACCAATGTAATAATTTTATTTATTCTGTCCCATATTCATTTTAGTCATTTTGTCCCATATTCATTTTATTCTTTCTGTCCCATATTCATTTTATTCTTTCTGTCCCATATTCATTTTATTCTTTCTGTCCCATACACCCTTAAGCTGGATTGAAAGCTTTAATAGCATACAACTTGTATAATGATTGATGTGATGTTTCACACTTTTTTTTTAAATAGAAATAAATTTGCCGGTGCCCAATATTGAAACTTACATCAGGAAAAGGATACTGTACATACATTCTGGAAATATAAAAAGTCTCCATTCATAAGTGCCAAATAAGTTGCTGAAAAATTAACAATAATCAAATCCCATTTTCGAAAAACAATGTAAAAGAAGCTTTCTTTATTTTTGAATGTTGCATGTCTTGTGTTTTGACAATTTTGTCCTCCATAAATTAAAATCAATAGACAAATATTCAATGACCAACTATAACTATGCGGATTAACAATACACAGATATATCAGTAGATTTACTTGAATCATCAGTATCAACATATCAAAATGATTGTTTTCAATATTTTTTCAGGGAATATCTCGGCAGACAGTTAGAAGCTAGTGATAAACCTAAAGACTCCACACAGCTTGTGTCAGCAAAAGCCTAGTTAATACATTCCATTATAGATTGTAAAACAATTCAACAGATCTTAATGTGACGTTAATGTCAGAGAATATATGACATATATATAGAGGATTATTGTGATATTATGAAAAATATGTTGACAAACTACATTCCTCTCACAGCAAAATGTGAGGAGTCTTTTTATTCAAACTTATATGTGTTTTTGTTTATAGTTATTACAAATTTGCGAAGAGTTCAAAAGTTCACGCATCCTGTATGACTGAAGAAAACTAGGATGTTTAATACTGTAAATTCAGAAATTTTGTTTGTATTTATAATTGCTATTATTTAACATTGGACACAAATGCAAGATTGATTATTGCCATTTCAGGAAATGCTGCTTACAAATAATGCTATCGAAATTTAAAATGCCAGTTTTTATTCAATATAAATTTTTGCTATAATTTCAAAATTTACAGCTTTTTTTACTGTTGGGAACACTTCCTTAAGAGCTTTACTCTTAATATGACCAGCTTTCATCCTAATTTTTGGATAAATCCTAATCCTAGCTTTACCCCCAAGTCAAACTTAATTCTAGGAAGCCTCATTATTAGCCCTCAAGTGAATTTTCCCCTAAAGTAAAACATTTTATAATTCATGAATGTTGAAAAATTGTTCATAATCAGTATTTGTTAGATATAATATATTGTTTTGTAAATGTAATTATAAAATTGCTGTTTGACCTTTCAATCCAAAACATTAGTAAGTTATATCTTCCAGTGGTGGATACAGGAGGGTTAGGGGTGATGATGGTCCTTTGATCGCCCCAAAAAAATCCAATGTTTCTCATGGTTTATAAGATTTTTGAGCATAAAATCATCAAAAAAAATTCCCCTTAGTTTGCTCTGTGATATATATTGCGTTTTCTGGAATTAAACTGCCTCTTTCAATAATCACAGACCCACCTCGGTCTTCAAATTGAAAAATGTAGATTGAAATTGCTATATTTGAACTAGAGAATTGAAAAGAGAGAATGTAAATATGTCAATTATCTCCCTTAGTTAATTTTGTAAAAGGAATTTTATTGACTAAATTCCCATGACATGGCTGGAATTCCATATGTAATTGTAAATGTTGTATTCAAGAGAGATGATAGTGATTGTATGTATGCAATAGTAAAGAGTCTAGTCAAATTGTGTTACTTGTTTTTATATCCTTCACATTAAGCACCATCAAACAGATTTTTCTTTCTTTGTGAAAAATAATGTTTCCATGTATAGTGACAAAATGACTTAAGTCTACTTCATATTTTTAAGAAATAACAGCATATTTGTGCTTTCGAATACAAATATACAATTTTTACCATGTTCATGCCCCTCGTAACTAGTAGTATGAATAAATGATAAGTTAAACCTGTCAGTCAATCTATCCCTTCTCTGTCCCTCCACATTTATGATATATGGTTTGCCTGTTGAACTTCCATTAATATTTTAAGATGCAGTTGTGCATATACTAACGATGTATATGTATATGTAGATAAGATTTTGATTTTCTTCAATTTTTCACAAAATTACCAGATGCTTAGTCAATTTTTTAGAAATTTCTCTATTAGGCAACTTGGTTTATCTGTTAAACTCCTGCTTAAGTTTACAAGGATACCAAAGAATTGCAATAATGCATCTATATTTAGTTGTGCTATATCAAGTTTTTTCCATTCAATATAACATTATGGATAGCTAAAATAGTCTAAATAATGATTGAAATAATGCACACAATTCTTTAATCTTTCCACCAGTGATTTCGGTCTCTCTAAGGTAAAAAAAAAACCTAACAGAATTAAGTAACTTTTGAACCTGATTTCTTCATATGAAAGAAACAAATACATGACAATGATGTTCCATAGATCCTACCTACCATATTTTGTATCAACTGGTACACAAATTTTCAAGAAATATTTGTAGAAACATTTCTTACAGACACAAATGCAAAACTCAGTTCACAATTACCATATTGGTTGACTGAATACAAAGCATAGGGTTAAATATAAACATGATAAAGCTAAATATCTACATATTTGGTCGACTTGATTTTAGTTGAATGCTGCTCTTGTGCACTGTAAATTGAAGGTTCCTGTCATAAACGTTAGATTCACAGGTAGTCTTGGTTAGCAAAGGCTGTATTAGGTCTCCCAACGTTCCAATGTTCTGTTCCAATACAGTCTAGTCTTTTAAAAATAGAACTGCAAGATTTGTAATATAGTTCCTCCAATATGTGTTTACAGCCGGAGACATTTTTTTCTTCCAAGAATTTTTTGTTGGTGGATTGTTGAAGATCTCGTGACCAGATGGTATTTCCTATATTGTTAGTATTTTATTTTATTTTTAGAAAACCAGCTGCTATCATTATTATTTTTTTAAGCATAATTAGGGCCCTGCCGAATGGCGGACGCCCTATAGTGATCAGTCTGTCCGTCCGTCCACGATCCATCTGTCCGTAACAAATCGTGTCCGCTCTATATCTAGAGAACCGTTATGATTTCAAAAGTTTATACTTCACATGTATATTAACCAACACCAGAGGGTGTGTCATAATGTATGTACAACTTCCTAGGTCAAGGTCAAAAACTTTGGTTTTAGTTGACAACCCCATGTCCTATGGTAAAGATCGTGTCCGCTCTATATCTTCAGAACCGTTATGATTTCAAAGTTTATACTTGATATGTATATAAACCAACACCAGAGGGTGTGTCATAAATTATGTACAACTTCCTAGATCAAAGGTCAAGGTCAAAAACTTTGGTTTCATTTGACAACCCCATGTCAAATGATAAAGATACAAATTTTTTACCACACATTATTCACAGTGGGGCCCACAGAGATGGCTCCCATCTCAATGATATCTAGTTTCTTCTATACTATGTCTATTATTATTGAACCTTCAGTTCAATAGACGTTAGCATACATCTCTAGTGCTCTCTTAAGTGTCTGACTTAGATACTAGAAAAGTTGTCTGTAGTCTTACTGATTGTGACATTTTGACTAAGTGTGAACTCACATGGCAGGTGAAGCATGTGTAACAAAAGACGCTAACCATGTCAACGCACCCAGTCTCACTCCTTTTAGAGTTCATGTGATTCCCTCAGTTTTTGTTACCTTTACCTTAGCAACAAAAACATTGTGGAAAATTTTAAACAAAAAAGTCAACAAATCATAGATTAAAGTTAAATTGAAGCAGTGCAAAATGCTTCGGCCTCAAGGACCCTTCGGCCATGGGTCCTACTAAAAAGCGCCCGGGAGCGCCCGGGGAAAAGAAAAAGCCCCCGGGGAAGAAAAAAAAGCGCCCAGGGAAAAGAAAAGGCGCCCGGGGAAAATATATAGATATTGTATTGGCATGAGACAACTTTGTGTAGATAAGTTATGCACATTGATTTTTTTTAAATTTTAGACAAGTATTTTGCAAATTCAGATAATAGACATTTGTAATAAAGCACAAAAATAAGTATGAATGTTTCAATTTTAACAATAATATATGAATACTATTTCGAAAGACAGATAATCATGAATCACAGTTTATGCTGAAGATTTATAAAATGTTAGACATCAAAAGACATGTTTTTCAAAAACGATATCAAAATGAAAAATGCAAAAACAACTTAAATTTCACAGATAAATATTCATTTTATAAAATTAAAAATGTTACACATTATTTAAGAACGATAAAAGTGACACGCACATGTATATCAGCATCAGCAAATAAAACAATTATACTATGCATGTTAAAAGTGTTTGGTATAAAACAAATAACATTGAATCACGGATAAACATTACAAATCGCATGCCGCGATTTAAACAGTTTTGGTTTTATAAAAAAAATTATAATAAATCAGCAAATAAAGCAGTACTAGTACTATACATGTACCGTAGTTAAAACAAGGGGGCAAAAAGCAGGAGTTTTGGTTTAAATTTAAAACTAAGCATTAAAACACTGATAAGCATAGCCATTAAAACAGTTTTAGTTTTATAAAAAGATATAATAAATCTATATCAGCATCTGCATATAAAACATTTACTATTGTTAAAAAAGCATTAAAAGTGAAGCACTATGCATCTTACCACCTATTCACACAAACTGTCAAATACATTACTGTTCATAACAAATATAATACAATGTACATTAAAAGTTATGTTGAAAATTTCAAGGTAGTGGTCTTGTTGCTACGAATACGCTTCTTTTAGTTTGGCTTCCTTGCGGTGGTTGGAGTTTTAGGAATCTTTAATTTTCCGTCAGATGATTCCACAAAATTGTCTCTCGGTTTGCTTAGATTCATAAACTTTCTGAAAATGGCGTCCTTTTCTTTTGCACATTTCGGCGACCATACCACTTCTGTTACTTGAAGTTTTTTAGCCCGAGGAGCCAACGCATAGTTCCCCTGGTCATGTAATGCTCGGCGTATATCTCGATATTGTAATTGAACAATTTTGTGTAGTTTGTCTATAAGGTCCGGGAGCTTAACGGCTTTCCAATTTGTCGATAGTTTTAAAATATTATTCATGGATTTGCATGAATTGTTCTTCCAGTTAATTGGGGCAATGTCTTTTTGTGTCGGTTCCCAGACATAGCTCTTCAGAGATGATGTATTACTGCTAAAATAACGTTGAAACGCGGGAACACTGTGCTCATACTTCGCTTCCAATTCCATTACCTTTAGGTTTATATTTACTTACTTACCTATATACAATTTTGAAATCTAAAATGTAAAAGTGCAACAACACTATCTACACACTTTAGATGTAGCATCGTACATATCCCCCTTTATATAAAGGACAAAACAAGCAATGATCATTTTTTTTTTATTCAGGAAAACATTTATTGTTATAAAATATTATTATTTTATTCACCCGGGCGCTTTTTTTTTCTTCCCGGGCGCTTTTTTCTTTTCTCCGGGCGCTTTTTCTTTTCCCCGGGCGCTTTTTCTTTTCCCGGGCGCTCCCGGGCGCTTTTTAGTAGGACCGTCGGCCATAGCCGTTTTGTCCATTATCGTTTCGGACATATAATCGGTCCTTACTTTGTGACATCGTTTTTTTTAGGTTATGAATATTATAATTGAGGGAGGGGATAAAGGGATACTCGCAAAAACGGGATACAAATTTATAACTGGAGGATTGGTTGCTATAACAATACAAGCTGTTTAAGTAGTCCTTGGAAGTACAAAACATATCATTAGGGAAAATCGACCTTCAGTAAAGTTATAAGATATTGGTAAGCTGCCTTCCAAAATTACTTACAAAAATAACATAGCATGTTTCCAATTATTCTGCTCAAACGTAGACCACACAAAGTACCTAAACTGTGTCTCTTTCATCGTCGGTTCCTCCGTTTTTTTTGTCGACAGGCTATACATGTATGTTTCTTTCACAGTCAATTCCTTTGAAGGGTATCGGGTCCGTTCGCACACGTTCGCTCCCTATTTTTATTCAAATACAGATTCAATTATTAGATGTATCAATCAAAATATTTATAATTTCATTAATAAAATTCGGGGATTTTATGAAGACTGTATGGACCATCAGACAAACCAGTTGACGATTTTCCGCCACAGTAGACTTTGAACTTTGATTATAATTGTGACTGTTATTTTATTTAATACATTAATTTTTAAATAAACTATTTATATTAGTGCATATTAGAAAGTATTCTGTGTTGTGTGAATGGTGTACAATGTGATGTGATGTTTAAATTTTATAAAGTAGTTACTCTAAACAGTTAAGTGTTGTTTTTTAAATGAAATATTTCATGATTTGAATGATTGTGTACGGTTACAGTGCATGAAGTAGGGAATCTGTTTATGTTTTTAGAATGTCACTTTATTTTTGAAACGATAAAAAAACCTTATTTATTGCAATACACTAACCAAAACATGATTAAACAATTATTCAACACAAAACCAGTAAAAAGGGTGCGAACGTGATTTTGGGCGAATGGACCCTCTAAAGAGTACTTGTAGAGAGGTTATACCATGGACAATCTTTTCTCCGTCGGTTCACCCGAAGAGTTTTTGTAGACAGATTATAAATGAATGATCCTTTCACCGTCGGTTCTTCTGAAGACCATTTGTTGACAAGATATACCGAAGAGTAAATCAAAATTCTATTAAGAGCTGTCAGAGACAGTACAATTGTATTATGTTTCTC